CTTCCCAATATTATATGCTTTTTCTTTTGCTTAATGCTGTTCCTGACTTCTCTTGTCAGCCGAGATTGCCTTGTCCTCCCCTTAGTATGTTGCTTCTTCCTTGGGATGAGTTTCTGCTGTGCCTCCCAAATTATCCCCCAAGAAACTCCTGCCATTGCTGTTCCATCATTTTCTCTGCTAGGTTCCCCTTCCAATCAACTCTGGCCAGCACGTCCCTCATGTCTTTGTAGTTACCTTTACTCAATTGTAATATCATTACATCTGATTCCAGCTTCTCCTTCTCAAAGTCTGCGGTGAATTTTATCACATCGTGATCACTGTCATCCCAGGGGTTCCTTCACGCTAAGCTCCCGGATCAAGTCATCCTCATTACACATCAATAAATCCAGAATTGCCTGATCCCTGGGTTCTACCACAAACTAGATTCCCAGACCAAACCAAAATGAAAAGTAAGGTATCTCTTTAGGCTAAGAGAACATTTCATAGAATCCCTACAGTGTGGAAGCAGGCCATTTGGTCCATCAAGTCCATACTGAACCTCTAAAGAACAAACTACACTGACCCACCCCCCCTACCCTATCACTGTAACTCTGCATTTCCCACAACTAACCCACCTAGCCTGCACATCCCTGACGACTATAGGCAGTTTAGCACGGCCAATCCACCTTTGGACATCTTTGGACTGTGAGAGGGAACTGGAGCACCCGGAGGAAACCAACACAGTTTAGGGGAAAATGTGCAAACTCCACATAGTCACCTGAGGATGGAATTGAACCTGGGTCCCTGGCACTGTGAGGCAGCAGTGCTAACCACTGAGCTTATTGTGCCATCCATAATTTGTTTGTAATCTCCAAATCTTTTCTTTCCAAAACTTGAGGCCGAATCTGAGGCTTGATAATCTTTTCAGACTTCCTCTTTGCCGTTTGCCCAATATCCTGTGAAACTCCAGTCTCCTCTCTTCCATTCCCAGTTCATCCCATTTCCTCTTTCACTTTCCCAGTCCCTTCCTATCTCCTCTCCCACATCCCCAGTCCTTCTCAGCTTCTCTGCCATATCCCCAGCACTCCTTTTTTCTTGCCATGTGATTTTATTTTCATAGATTCAATATCTCCTGCTTTGCATTGTCTCCCAAGTCAAAGTTACCTTCCACATAACTGAGGGAAATAGGCTTACCCAGAGCAGGTAAGCTGACAGAAGTAATCGAATAAGACAAAAGGAAATGAGGCAAGTCAGGAGTTTGGCAGCTGTGAGACAATTGTTGGGATATTAATGTGATAATCCTTTATACTTTAAGAGATACAGAGCATGATGTCCTGTCCAATATATAAAAGCATTCAAAGCAAATTATACTTGACATTCAATTATATCCATTGATTTAACATCCAAATGGAAGTATATTCAACTATAATTAGTATTTAATCATGTCACCATTTCATCTCTGTAACTGCGGTACATGAGGAGAGGTCTGTTGAAAAACAAATGATCTTAGACTGCAGGGTACAGTCACAATTAAGCCAACTTTGCTGATGATGCAGTGATGCAAACGACATGATAATAAATGAAGTGCAATGATGTAAGAGGCACAATACTGCAAGATGTGACCAGGAAGTGAGGCTTGTTAAAGGGGCAATGGTATTTTAAATGAGGTGATAGGGCATAAAAAATTTTTTAAAAAAACATTAAAAGTGGAGACTTAAAATGAGGACTCCCTGTACTTCATATCTTTTAATGTAGACCTTCAAGTTCCCAGAGATTTTGTGGAAATGAACTAAATTTGAAATGATTAATGTCTAATCAATCAATCCACAATGACACCACTTAAGATATTGGTCAAAGGAGTAATGACAACAAGGGGGAAAGCTTTGTCCCTCAGCAAGTTGACAGTGTCTGGAATTCCCTGCCTGAGAGTGCGGTGCAGGCAAGTTCAATAAAGGCTTTCAAGGGGCAACAGAATTATTGTCTGATAGTATAGAATATACAGGATTACTGGGAGAAGTGGGGAAGTAGCACCAGGTGTATTGTTCCTTCAGAGAGCTAGCACACTCACAAAGGGCTGAATGGCCTTCCTCTGCGCTGTAACCATCCTTTTGTTTTGTTATATTAGCAAAGCATTGGCTTGGTCATGTTTCCAGTCACTGAAGTACTTTCGCAGCAACTTTAATCTTGCATTACTGAGAAATTAATATGGGCTTTAAATTAAATTAAAGTATTGATTCAAGAAGGCAGCTTAAGATTGATCAGGTAGTGTGTGACTTGGACCAATTTCAGAGTAAACTTGCATGTCCACAGCCAATCATTGGGTAGAAATGGATTAATTGTGTGATAATCTTCAGGATCAACACAGGATAAAAACAGCACAGGCAAAAACCTGACTTCAGGTCACAGAATTAAAAAGAGCACAATGACCACGAAGAACATAAACATGTCATATTAGAACCCAGAAGACAAAGCTGCCTCGCAGTAAAACATAGGGAGGAAAAGGCAGCAAGGGTCACACAGATTAACCTGCTCCACATCTAAAGTTAACAGGGGAACTAAATCCTGTCACAGCTGGTAAAACTTGCCTGTTTTGCAAAGCTTTATATTTTTATACTGTATTTAATGTTTCTGAAATTATCACAAATTAATCTGACCCTCTGGCCATATTCTTTGACAAATCCGAGAAACCTTGAAGCTAGATCACATTCTGACAACATGGAAAATTCTTACCATCAACATCTTGGTCATTGGAAGCATGGCAGTCATGTTCGATGGGTAGACAAGTTGCAAAAATCAAATTGCACTTTTTGTTAATCTTGATTATCTGATATCTGTTGCGGTCAAAGACATTGTTTAAGAGTCTCCAACCTCCTGCAGAACTCCACACTGGTAGGGTTTCTGTTTGCCTGATACCAAATGAACTCTTCTGTCTCTCTCTCTCTCTCTCTCCCCCCCCCCCCCCCCGCTTCTAGGGACACATACCAATGCCTTTAAGACCAGAGAGTTTGAACACTTTTTGGTACAGCCATGGCTTGGTGATGCAATGAAAGCTTTTAATGGGCTGCAGATTGCAATATTGCTAGGTTTGTTATACATTTTTTGATGGCTACCAAGTAATTGTCCTAACCAAGGGTAAACTGACCCCAACCACAAAGGATGGAAGAGCTGGTTACATGCTGTACCCAGGCTGAATTTCAAACCACTGTCAGAGCTGATAAATTCTATCCACAAGCAACAACTTTTCACTCAAATCATAAGAAACATTTTAGAATCATTTACTTCTATTTAATTATTCAACAATCAAAAAGTGACACACAAACACAAGATGGTCAGGGGTTTTGTAAGAACTGACACCATTGCCTCAGCAGATCCTTTGCTGGAACCAACCCAACCTCTTCATAAAGACCCTAAAAGACAATAGTATTTAGAATGCTCATGCTGTTGGATTAAATTATTGAATAAAGTGGATAATATTCCTGAAATTTGCTATGAAACAGGGCACATCTACTTTACTTTGAATCAGTAAGTGGCCTGGACCGTTAGTGGTCTGAATTAACATTACTATAACAGATCATCTGGTCATTTATTTCATTGCTATGTAGGGATTCCTCTGTTTGGAGAGCTGACATATATAACTGTGTTTCCTATATTGCAATAGTGACTATCCTTCAGGAAGTGCTTCATTGGCTATTAAGTTCTTTAGAATGTTTTTGGGTCATGGAAGGTGCTAGATAAATGAAAGTTCTTTCATATCCTTCCTCCTTCATGTCTGTGTCTATGCAAGCTCATATATACAAAGATAATGAACCACATAGACAAACAAATCAAAAAGTTACTTTTAATTTCACTCCACTTTCTAATCAAATCAGTTGAAATTTATTTTGGATTTTTTTCTCAATTGATACTTTTTCTCTTACTCACGAATTGTAGTATTGATAAATATACCAAGTGGAAGTGAATGACTTTTAAAAAGTGAAGGGAGTTTTATATGTTAGAAGCACTTTAGGCATGATTATATTTACAGCTTCAAGTAAATTAGTTTCTTCTGGTACAAAGTTAAAGTTATTCAACTTCTACCAGTAATGACAGATGGATGGAAGCTCATTTTGCTGATGATTTTTAACCTGCCATTGTTTATAGGAAATAGTGTTAGCTCTACTTGGGTGCAGTTGATATCCTCCTCACCCAAGTTGGAAGGTCATGCTTCAAGCCCTGTTATGGTTACAAGTTTCCAACAACACACCAATCAGAGATACTGTCTGTCAATGAAGAATTTTATCTGCTGTCCTAAACAACATTGGTGTCAAATTATTTGAGGAAACCAAATGGATTAACTAGACATTCATTTCATTTATTCTTATAGCATCTTGCTGTGTGCAAATCATCTGCAACATTTGCCTAAATAACACTTGCTGCACTGCAAAAAAAAATTCTTGGTTATAATACGCTTTAAAATATTCTAACTGATGTGGTAAGATGCAGTGTAGATGCATGCCTCTTTAGTGTGTCATATTAAGAATTCTTCTCACAGCTGGAATCTGAGATACATGTCTGGTGTTGCGCTTAGTCTATAGTAATATTACTCTAGGCCTTGAATAGTATTAAACCAAAGTGATCTATTAACTCGATATACCAAGGGATCAATGCATTTATATTGTATTATGTATATATTAAAGAGTGAAGCTAGAACTAAGTATGTGATTTCTTGGTTTCCATGATTGGATAGATTAACAGTGCATTCTAGCACCTTACTGTACCCAACTTGCAGTCAAGAGAGGCAGGTTATATTGCTATCTATAAGTTTGATAGGAGGCATGTTATTATTGCTCTCTATGAGCTTGATTGATTTGGTAGTGTTGTATGACAAGATCACTTTATTTAGTGCACTGAATCTGTTGGAAATCTAATGTTTATAAAGAAGAATCATTATGGTAATACACGCTATTCCGTTAGTGTTTAGTTTTACTTGGTCTGTTTTTACAAAAATAAACTGTGCTCCTGTTGGATGTCTATCACCAGGAATTACACAATTATTTTAGCTACATACATGGACAGAGTGCAAGTAAGGTTTGAGGTTATTGTAATGGTACAGTCATTAGGGAGAGGGGAGAATTGGCTTCTGTTCATTATGAAACGTGGGTTACAGGGTTCTGCTGGTTAGGTGGTTTGTCAACATTACATTATAGTTAACGGGGCACTAGTCAGGACTCAACATAATGCAGTCAATAAAAGGCTATACTAGCACCAAAAAAAAAAGTGTTCCCTTTATTCTAGGTCACAAAGGCCCAATTTTATGAAACTTAAATCCATTTGGCCAGAGAACTGACCCAACTATTCTCCCAATAGCTGTAGGAATTCTAACCACACCATTGGATGGACAATTAGCCTGAAGCTACTTAAAATCAAAAATTTCAGCTTCCTTGTCCTTCCAGAAAGCAAAGCTTCTGTCAATGTACTTGCAAATCTCATCGTTGCTGAAACCTCCGAGGTCTGAGGAGTAGCCTTGCCCTTTGGACATTTCATCCTCTTCAGGTGTGGCACTTTGCACGACAACTTTAGGCACTGTTCTCATAGCTGTCTCAGGCTGGGTGGACGAGCTCATGGCAGCCGCCATGCTTTCAGGGTTGCTGAAGAACCTTTGCTTAATGTCGTCAAACCCATCCTTCCATTCCCTTTTGCCAGCGTCTATCTCCTCGATGACGGCCTTATGGAACGCACGGACCAAGTCCCAACTGAACTTCCCTAAGTGGTCAAACACCTCAAAGCACAGAAGATGTCTCATCTTCCTTTCATCTGGGGGCAAGTCGAGTTCGAGGATGTGGAAGTATCCCAGCATGAAAAGGTCAAGGGTCAGACTATTGTGATCAATGGGAACACCATTGACACGAGGGAGAAATTGCTCAGGGGAGTAGGTGATCCTCTGCCGGTTCAGTCGCCTGATCTGTCTGGATGGAACATGGGATATGATATTTCTCCAATTACTAATGAGTTTGGTGATAGTCCTTTGCTGTAGGAACAGATGCCTAAATTTTCCATTTTGTATGGATTGCTTAGATTGATGTTGAAGCTGCATTTCCAGCTCTGGTGTTTGACTACTCTCGCCTGTTTCAGCCATCTCACCACCATCTGGTGCTTCACTCCTGTCTTCAACAATGGCAGCTTTACACAGGTTTCTGGCTTTCATTCCCAAAGACATGGCATAAGTTGACTTTTTCCAGTGACCCAGGAATAACACAACTATTCTTTCTTTTCTCAAACTAGTCGATTCTGTCACAAGTGAACGTGCAGTGCCGTCTTCAGCTATATCAGCCTGTGAAGCAACTCTTGAGTCACTTCTGTCCTCCATCCTTCCTGACTGCTCAGGATCAGGCAACTGTTCATTACATGACTCACTCTGCTGAGCCCTCGTGATAACCTCATGCAGGGATCCATCTTCATCATGGAGGGCACCATCATGAGTAATCTCTGTACTTTCAGTCCCATCTCCACATTCAGAAGACTTGGAGTAAGACCCCCCATTGCTCTCGTCCTCCTTCGCCATACCTCTCTGATTTTCTTGTGTGTCAGAGTGTGCCAATGCTTTTTCTTTCATCACACACTGCTTTTCAAAGTTTGCTTTGAGTGTGCGTACGGAGACACCGAACTGCTGGATCTCTTTCTCCACTTTGTTTCTTGAAGACATTTGGTCAGGCTTTGGTGAGAAGACAGCCGCTAATTCCACATTTGGCATTCTAGTGATTTGCTTGCTGTTGTGTTGCTCAGCGCAGTCTTTTTCATTCAGATTTGACAGGAGCAGTGACACAGTCCTCACAATGCCAGATATCCTGCTGCACCACACAGGCAAAGACAAGTGCTTATCCATGCTTGAATCCTGACACAAAGGCTGAATGCTGACTGTTAGATTGACTATGGGAGCAGGGAGAATGGTTCGTAGCTGTACTGCCAAGTGATTCAGCTCCCCCTCGTACCCCTGGCACTTCTGCATGACTTGGACTGTCTCGATCTGCTTCTCCAGATAGATAAGGTCTTCCTCTGTCAGAAGCTCTCCAAATGGGCCCAGTATGGCGTTGTGTTCCTGGGAGTACCTCCATATCTCCGTCTGTAGATAACCATTTCCGATGCGCTTGATGGAGTAAAGAATATTTGAATGGAGCCTCACGCAACATCACCAGCCATGATTAAGGATAAGATAATCTTCCAAACCAAATGTGACTGAATACACTTAAATAGGGTGAGAGTTTACAGAGGAAGTCACTTGATATCCCACATTAAGCTTGGGCATTTCAATTTTAATTTGGATTGTTTTTAAACATTTAAAGGTCATGTGTCATATTTCTCTCAGTTTTTACGATTTCCAGCTTCAGATTGTGACTTTCCCCTGTTTATTCATATCGTACCCAAGAAAATATTTGTTCACTTTGCATTTTTGGTTAGTGTTAATATTTCTACTTCCGAAATTGAAAAATCTCAGAGCCCTCAACTCATTCATCACTCCAACATAAGGGGCACCCTAGCCTATCCCTTCCATGTCACTCTGATCAAAAGGCATTCTCATTGATGATTAACTTCCCAATTCACTCTTGCATCCCCTGAGTCACTAACTGTTTGAGTTACACTACTGTCCCAGAGTCACTCAATTCATCCTCAGGGTTACTCTATAACAGCAAGCTATTCTTAGCCAAGATTCATTCTAACCTAAAAGATACTCCATAGTCTCTGACCCAGTCTAACTGCCAGGTCAACCTAATCTGACAGACTAAGACCTAGTCACTGTAACTCACTTTAACTTTTCAATCTAACCCTTGGGTCAATCTAATTCTGTTATTTTGAGAGGTTACATATAGTCAAATTTATTCTGCAAAAGCTCAAATGGACAGCACTGAAGTGACCTTTTACTCTGATCTGTGCATGTGTAGCTTGCAAGTTTTTGACACTGGAAGGGAAAGCAGAAGTGGAAATATTCTCCTTCCCAGAACTGACATCTCCCCACCCAATATCATCCCTTGAAAGTGCAATGAATATATATTTTGTTATTGAATCATGTGGAATCCAGCGTTTTGTTTTGCAAGATTAGCCTTATCCTTAAAAGTGATGCACAAATACCAAGCAAGAGTTAAAAAATGCACCACAAAGCAATCTCAATTCACACTGAAACTCCATGTCAGTAAAACACACAGAAACACACTCAAGCTGCAGGTCTGCATAATGCACACCGTAACTGGATGTATTTTTGTGTGTTTTGTATGCATGCAGAAACTGTATATCTGCATGATAGACAAATATCCACTGAAACTTCAGGTTGGCAAACCACACAAATGCACAATGTAAAGAAATCCAAGCTGAACAGCTGGTATGCAAAATGCATAGAAACACGACGCAACACACCCCAAGACTACATGTTTCCAACACACAGGAAGACTGCAATTTTGTAACTACATGGTTACATGAGATGTGCAGGTAGGTAAATGCATAGCAATTCGTATTATAGGTGTACAAAACACACAGAATTGCATATTGATACACTGGAGATTTACATTACAGTCAGTACAACAACACACACTGCAACTACAGGTGTATAGGACACTTTGCCACACATCCCAATCCTGAACAACCCACAGTGATGGACACTGATACTGCATATCAGTGGAAAAAAGGAGCAGAAATAGGCCATTCTTTACCTTGGTCTTGTTTATCTGTTTAAATTTCATCTGACCCACATTTCAATTCCATTTACCCGCCTTTTGCTTCCTGTCTCTTGATAACCATATCTAACAATATAGCTACCAGTCTCTCAATTATCGCAGTATTCACAGATCTTTACGAAGCAAGTTCCAGTTCATTACTTACCTTTCATGGACAAAGTGTTCCCAATTTCACTTCTAAACAGCCCAGCTCTAACTTGCAGATTATGCCTGTTTGTTCTTTATTCCCTTGTAGAGGAAATTATTTATATAAATACCCTACTGAATCATGCTGTCATTTAAGGGCCTTAACAAAATTACTCCTGAACCTTCAAAAGCAAAAGGGAGTACAAAGTAAGTGCAACCTGTCCTCCTACTTTAAATCTTCGAGCCCTGGTATTGCTACATAAGATACCAAGGGTGTTGTGGCACAGTGATAGTGTCCCTATCTCTGAGCCTGAAGCTTTGGATTGAGACCTGTGCCAGGACTTGTCGGCCATGGAAGATTTGATGATGTGCTGGCCAGATGGGTTGCCTTTGAGCCTGTAAGTCCTTCCGTCCTTTGCCCATCAGTGTGGACCAATCCAAGGGAAGTATATGGCTCAACCCTCAGACATGAGCACAGGAGAAAAGATAGACAGTGGAATGGTAGGCTGTCCAGAAACAGTCTATTCATCCAATAAGTCCTTGCTTGAGTTTGTGCTCCACTCAAGTCTCCTGCCATCTTTGGGGCTCATCTAAATCTATCTTTGTCACTCCCTACTCTCTTCTCCCTCAAATGCTTGACTTGCTTCCCCTTAAATGAATCTACACTATTCACTTCAACCACTCCTTGTGGGAATGAGTTCCACATTCTTCCTGCTCTTTGAGTAAAGGACATTCTTGCAAATTCCCTATTGATTCCTTGCTAACTATCTTACATTAACAATCGTGAGTTATGATCTTTCCACGAGAATGCAATAAAGGCGAGCAGGAATAAATCATTTGGCCCCTCAAGCGTGCTGATCCATTTGATAAAATCATAGCAGATCTGAATGTTCTGTAATCTCCATTCCCCACAAGAGGAAACATTCTCTCTTTACTCACTACATCAAAACCTTTCATAATGTTTGAGGCCTCTATTGGGTTTCTTAATTGAGAAGAAAAGAGACCCAGCCTGTGAATCATTTCCAGATCCTCTTGATCTTTTTATGACAAGCAGAACAGCACATGGTACTGTAAATAAACTCTAAACAAAGTTTGAGACAGGTCTAACATAACTTGCCAAGTAATTTCAACAAGCAGCACTGTGCCAGGGCTAATAGTTCATTCCTGAGGAGCAATACACAAAACTAAGCAGACACGTTATGAATGAAGTACTGCAAAACTGAATATTGCTTTCTCATTTTTTTTAATTCCAACCTCCTTGAGTTAGAGATCATTAGCCTTTTTAATTACCATTTGTTCCTGTGTGTTAGCAATTAATGATCTGGGCACAGGGACACACACTCCCTTTGCTTCTCTACAGCCCTTTGTCTCACATTGAAGAAAATATTCAGATTTGTCTTTCTGGCCTCACAAATGGATTACACATTGATACCACAGGCATCCTGCTGGCACCCTGAAGACTGTTTGAAACAGGCTCACCTGGTGGGAAACTGATAGGTTCAGATGTGTATTCTATCTGATTTTAACTGACTGAAATCAATGCAAAGTGTTATTAGAGTAAAACGTTCACTGCATCTGATCCCCTGGGTTTCTCACCCAGCAGACTGTAGCATCTGCTCGTCTTGTTACACATGAATGTTCTCGGCCAGTAGAAATATAAATGTCCAAATAATGAGCTGATAAATCTATAAGAGATCTATTAATTCATCGATCAAATCTTGCAGGTGATAGCAATGCAACCACTGGTCTAACAATGGGTCAACACCAGTAAGTCACAGACAGCCCACAAAATGCATCCAATACATTGAGTTCTCCCTCTGTTAATGTGTTAATCAATGGATTCCAGTCTCTGGAATACCAATAGCTGACTTTCTTTTTACTAGGTATCAATGTATAATTCCTACTCTGAGTACTGAAGAAAGTTTGAACGTTCCACCTAATACTGTTGGAATTTTTTAGCCTTTTGGTTTTTAGTTTCTGTGTTTTAGGCCCTTTATAGAGTCACAGAGTCATACGGCATGGAAACAGACCCTTTGGTCCAACCAGTCCATGCCGAACATAATCCCAAACTAAACTAGTCCCACCTGCCTGCTCCTGGCCAATATCCCTTGAAACCTTTCCTATTCATGTACTTAACCAAATGTCTTTTAAACATTGTAATTGTACCAACATCCACCACTTCCTCAGGAAGTTCATTCCACATACTGACGACCCTCTGTGTAAAAAAATTTGCCTCACATCTTTTTTTAAATCTCTCCCCTCTCACCTTAAAAATGTGCCCGCTAGTCTTGAAATCCTCCATTCTACGGAAAAGACAACTAACATTAACTTTTATTTGTGATTTTTAAGTCTCTATGACCTAAAGTGCTGTCATCATCACTAATGGTCACTCTAATCTGTGTGAAGCATGCCAGCCTGAAATTCTCACACAGGCCATGCCCATGAAAGCTCCTTGAAGCCAGTGTGACAGCAATATCAAGCCCAAAAGTTTAAAGAACCCATGCATTCTTAAATATTGCCCAAACGCTAATAAAAAATTATTAGGTATTCATTGATCATCACTGGCTCTGAAAATTAGATGAGTATGCGCAGGAAAATAATCAGAAAATATACATCAAATCTGAGATTTTGCTTAATTGACAGAACTTATTACAGGCTGCGACTTTCAAGTGAATTTAATTATCAGTGGATGGTAAGTTTGAGAATTTCTGTTTCAACCAGTTTCTGTTGTTTTTATGATAATGATTTTCTCTAATACTTCACTTTTTTTGGTGTCTCTCTTTCTTTTCTTCCTTTTCTCCCCAACATTTTTTGAGTCCTACCCTGTCCTTTACCTTTTCCTCTTTCCTTTCAGTGAGGGGTACTGTGGTTGTCAAAGTACAGAATGGAGCTGCTAGGAAGGCAGATGATATTTGAATGGTAATACCACGGACCATGTAATACAGGGTGGGGGTCCACACAAATATACTGGGAGACAGGATCAAATCCCACCAATTCAATTTGATTGATAGCTAGTCTCAATAACATTTGTCAAGAAATTGTCATTGAAAGTTGTAAAACCCTGATGCTGCTTAGGAACAGAAATCTGCCATCATTATATATGGTCTCTGCCTATGTGTGACTCCAAGATGTGGTTTTATGTCTTGAACTTCCCTTTGAAGCAGTGTGGTAAGCTTCAGAGTTCAAGGGAACTTGTGGGCAGCATAATGAATGCTGGCCTTGTCAGTGGTGCCCACACCTCAGGAAAGAATAAATATAAAAAGAGACTAACAATTGCAGGCAGTATTTTCCAGGGAAACAGTGGTCTTTAGCAGGTTCCATCTCATTGTCAACCATGACTTATGTCACCTCACCCATACTTTCAAGCCTTTGTCTTCTCACTCCCCTGCTGTCCTACCAACTCGTGACCCTTACCGTGCCTCTATTCACTGCATGACTGCCTCTACAAATACTTTCCTCTGGGGCTATTTAGTCAACCATTGTATTTTCCCCGCTTCCTCTTTCCATTCCCAATCACCTCATCAGGGACCCACCACCTACTCTCTCCTTAATCCCACTCTACTCTTGATATCAAGTCAGCTGGGCTTTATACAGAACCTCTGCCCTAAGATGGTCATTGATCAATGGCACATTGCCGTTTTAGGGGATCAACTGATCACAACTGTCCTCCTGATCACGAGGACAGCACCAATTTTCCAGTGTGCTTGTTCATAGCAGCAATTCCTCCATTCGTTCGGAATGCAGGTGCCCTCCCTTTGATCTCAGGAAAGAGGAAAAGTAAACGACAGGGTAGGACTCATAAAGTGTTGGGGAGAAACAGGAAAAGAAAAAGAGAGACGAAAAGAAAGTGAAGTATCAGAGAAAATCATCGTCATAAAAACAACAGAAACTTGCAGGGTAAATGTGAGTATACATCTTGTGTAATATCGCTGTAGTGTGGCACAGGTACTGGCACAGGCATAATGCCCTGAACGATACCCGCACTGTACTTGGTTATTCTGCTCATAAAGGTGAGGTTGCATTGTCTGAGAACTGATCTTAAGTATGGAACAATAAATATATGATAAAATATAAATAGGACAGCAGAACTTCAAAATAAAGAAGTGCCCACCAACAAGCCATATCCATTTACAAAGACCAACTACTCCTAGCCACTCTTTCAATTCCCTCACCCTTAATCCATCTAACCATTACTAATTACTATTTACATTGACTGTTTGATTGTCCTTCCCTTGTAACTTATTCCACAACTCGATCAGCTTGTAGATCATAGGGTTCCTCAGGGAAAATCTTTGTTCCTGTGGTTTGAGCCGTACACCACAGAAAAACAATTTACTTGGATTAGTTTTGCTAATCCAGAGACCCAGGTAATGTTCTGGGCACCTGGGTTCCAATGCTGCCATGGCAGATGGTGGAATTTGAATTCAAAAAATATATGGAATTAACAATCTAATGATGACCGTGAATCCATTGTCAATTGTTGGAAAAACCCATCTGGTTCACTAATGTCCTTTAGGGAAGGAAATCTGCCACCCTCACCTGGTCTGGCCTACATGTGACTCCAGACCCACAGCAATGTGGTTGACTCTTACCTGCCCTCTGGGCAATTAGGGATGTGCAATAAATGCTGCTTAGCCAGCGTCCCGTGAATGAATAAAGAAAAAAAAATTCACTGAGGTTCAGTCTTTTTCACTGGGTAGTTCATTCAGATTGATATGGCAGTCACACATTCACACACACACAGCATGCTCCTCAGTCAAGCCTTTCCCTTACCTTTCTCCGTTGCTCTTCTTCATCCCTGAGTCGTGCCTGTAGTTTTCGTACCATCACTTGCCGTTTCCACTCCGGGATGGGACATCCCTTCTCATCATGAGTGGGCACCAGCAAATCAACATCGGTGCTGGCAACCTCATTCACAGGGAGTGATGCTAATCCATTCTCTTTTGGCTTCTGTTCGGACGTTCGGCTTTCGCTCTGTGCAAGAGGAAATTACAATAAAAACACTTTAAGAAATTTAGGATCGGGAGTGGGGGGTTGGATTGATTCCATCAATTTCCGCACGCTTAACCCTCGATCCCCTTATTGATCAAGAATTTACCTATCTCTGCCCTAAATATACATAAGGTCTTTCTGCCCAACCTCCTCTGAGGCAAGGAGTTCCAAAGGCTGCCAACACTCTGAAAGAAGAAATTCCTTATCTCGGTCTTATACTATAGACCTGGGAGTTTGGTATCAGTGGTGGGTAATTTGTTAGCGGGGATTCTGAGAGATAGCATTTACATGCATTTGGAGAGGCAAGGAATGATTAGGGATAGACAGCATGGCTCTGTGCTTGGAAACTCGTGTCTCACAAACATGATAGAGTTTTTGAGGATGTAACCAAAAGGATTGATGTAGACAGGGTAGCAGATGTTGTCTACATGGACTTTAGTAAAGCCTGTGACAAGGTTCCACATGGTAGACTAATTAGTAAAGTTAAATCACATGGGATTTAGGGTGAGCTTGCCAACTGAATACAAAAATGGCTTGACAGTAGGAGACAGAGAGCGATGTTGGTGGGTTGCTTTTCAGACTGGAGGCCTGTCACCAGCAGTGTTCCACAGGGATCAGTGCTGCGTCCACTTTTGTTTGTCATTTACGGAAACAGTTTGGATGAGAATTTAGGAGGCCTGGTTAGTAAGTTTGTACTGACACCAAAATTGGTGGTATAGTCAACAGTAAGGAAGGTTATCTAAAGATTACAAAGGGATCTTGATCAGGGGCCAATGGGCTGATGAGTAGGCAGATGGAATTTAATTTGAATTAATGAGAGATGCTGCGTTTTGGTAAAACAAACAAGGGCACGACTTATACAGTTGACAGTTAGGGTCCTGTGTACTGTTGTTGAACAGAGAGACCTAGGGGTTCAGGTACATAGTTCTTTGCAAGTTGCATCACAGTTAGAAAGGGTGGTTAAGAAGGTGTTTAGCACACTTGCTTTCATTGCTCAGACCAGTGAGTGCAGGAGTTGGGACATCATGTTGAGGTTGTATCGAACATTGGTGAGGCCACTTTTGGAGTAGTGTGTACATTTCTGGTCACCCTGCTATAGGAAGGATATTATTAAATTGGAAACAGTTCAGAAAAAAATTTATCTTGTTGTTGCTGGGACTGGAGGGTTTAAGTTATAAGGAGAGGCTGGATAGGCTGGGACTTATTTCACTGAAGCTTGGGAGGTTGAGGAGTGATCTTTGATAGAGGTTTATAAAATCATGAGGGGCATAGATAAAGTGAATAGCAAAGGTCTTTTCCCTAGGATAGGGGAGTTCAAAACTAGGGGGCATATTTTTAAAGTGAGAGGAGAAAGATTTAAAAGGGACCTGAGGGGCAACGTTTCACACAGAGGGTGGTTTGTGTTTGGAATAGATCATAGAATCCCTACAGTGTAGAAACAGGCCCTTCGGCCCAACAAGTCCACACTGACCCTCTGACATCCCACCCAGACCCATCTCCCTATAACCCACCTAATCTACACACCCCTGAACAGGACAGGCAATTTAGCATGGCCAATCCACCTAGCCTGAACATCTTTGGACTATGGGAGGAAACTGGAGCACCCAGAGGAAACCCACGTAGACACAGGGAGAATGTGCAAACTCCACTCAGACAGTTGCCTGGGGGTGGAATCGAACCCGGGTTCCTGACGCTGTGAGGCAGCAGTGCTAATCACTGAGCCACTGTGCTGCCTGTGAGTAAAATCGCAAAACCATGAATAAAATTGCAAGATAACAAGATGTAGAGCTGGATGAACACAACAGGCCAAGCAGCATCAGAGGAGCAGGAAAGCTGACGTTTCGGGTCTAGACCCTTCTTCAGAAATGGGGGAGGGGAAGGGGATTCTGAAATAAATAGGGAGAGAGGGGGAGGCGGATAGAAGATGGATAGAGGAGAAGATAGGTGGAGAGGAGACAGACAGGTCAAAGAGGCGGGGGTGGAGCCAGTAAAGGTGAGTGTAGGTAGGGAGTTAGGGAGGAGATAGGTCAGTCCAGGGAGGACGGACAGGTCAAGGGGGCGGGATGAGGCTAGTAGGTAGGAGATGGGGGTGGCGCTTGAGGTGGGAGGAGGGGTTAGGTGGGAGGAAGGACAGGTTAGTGAAGTGGGGACCAGCTTTCCTGCTCCTCTGATGCTGCTTGGCCTGCTGTGTTCATCCAGCTCTACACCTTGTTATCTCAGATTCTCCAGCACCTGCAGTTCCTACTATCAGTAAAATTGCAAATGATGTTGTGTTCTTTGTGGTTGTATGTGAACTCCAGAACATGCTGCAATTACTTTTTTTTGCTGAACATTTGAATACATTGCACAGAAGGAGACAAGCTTTTATTAAACCTTAGGTCCGAGAGAGAAAAAATCTATAGAGTACTGAGGCACCATTTCAGACCATCTAAGACGCACTTCGTCATACAGCGTGGAACAGACCCTTCTGTCCAACTTGTTGATGTTGACCAGACATCCCAATCTGATCCAGACCCATTTCCCAACATTTGGCTCATAACTCTAAACCTTTCCTATTCATGTACCCATCCAGATGCCTTTTAAATGTTGTAATTGTACCTGCCTTCACTTCCTCTGGCAACTTGCTCCATCTCTGCACCACCCTCTGCATGTAAAAGTTACCCTTCAGGTCCTTTTTAAATCTTTTCCCTCTCATCCTAAACCTATACCCTCCAATTTTGGACTCCTTCATCCTAGGAAAAGACCTTGGCTATTTACCCTATCCCTGTCCCTCATGATTTATAAACCTCAATAAGGTCCCCCCTCAGCCTCTGATGCTCCAGGGAAAAAAGCCCAGGCTATTCAGCCTGTCCCTATAACACAAACCTCCAGTCTCAGCAATATCCTTGTAAATCTCTTCTGTACCTTCTCAAGTTTAACAACTTTCTTCCTGTAGGAGGGCAACCAGAATTGTATGCAGTATTTTAAAAGTGGCCTCACCAATGTCCTGTACAGCCACAACATGACTTCCCAACTCCTATACTCAATGCACTGACCAATGAAGGCAAGCGTACCAAGCACCTTCTTCATCACCCTGTCTACCTGTGACTGTAGTAATGAATTGCCAGAGGCAGTAGTAGATGCAGGCACAGTTACAACATTTAAAAGACATTTGGAAAGGCACATGAATAGGAATTCAGCGAGGTATAAGACCAACCGCAGGCAAGTGGCACTCACTTAGTTTGAGAAACTTGGTCAGCATGGATGAGTTGGACCAAAGAGTCTGTTTCTATGAAGTATGACTCTATAAATTGGCATCCCTTTATTCTGAGCCCTCTAATCCTAGACTCTCCCATGAGGGAAAATATTTAGTCTGGCAAGCTTTTTAAGAACAAGATCACATCTCATTCTTCTAAATTCCAGTGAATAGAGTCCCAACATGTTTAACATTTGCTCATAAGACAATCCCTGCATATCAGGGATCATCCTAGTGAACCTTCTCTGAACGCCTCTAATGAAATCATATCTTTCCTTAAGTAAGGGGACCAAAACAGCTCACTGTGCTCCAGATGTGCTCTCACCAGCTCCTTGTACAGTTGCATAAGACTTTCTTCCGCTTATACTCCAACCCCTTGAAATAAGGGCCAACATTCCCTTAGCCATCCTGATTCCCTGCTGCGCTTGTGTTTTAGCTTTCTGTGTTTCATACACAAGTATGCTCAAGACCTTTTCTGTTGCAGATTTCTGCAGTTTTCATCAGGTTAAAAAAGCAGTTCTCCCTCCATGCTAGAACAAGTGAAATTACTTTAAAAATTTAGGCATGGCATCCGGGTCAATCACCATGACACATACATTCACTCAAAACCTGATGGACTTGTGCCAAAATACTTGGTCTGTGTATATATATGTGTGTGTGTGTCTCCACGTGTGTATTGTAATAAATCACAATTTCACAAGATGTTGAATTGTTGAAATGACTTACTGTCTGAGCCACATTCTGACCAAAACCCGTAGGTTTTAATGTCTTTCCTAACTTGAGCTCGTCTATGAGGCTTGCATGGATGTTTTCGATGAGATGTCCTGTGTTGAAGGGTTTCCCACCTACAGAGAGAGTAAACAGAAAAAGTCTGGAGCTGAAGTAGGAATACAGTCTCCGCCTGGTTGCATATGAGGTCTCCTGTTAGCTTGGCCACAGGTAGTTGCAGCTTAGGCTGGGTTCAGGAGGCCTCACCTTAGCCTGGTTCTGGGAGAGCTGCCATCAATCTCACTGTGGGCAGCTTTACATTAGTCTGATTACAGAACGCCTCACACCAAAGGGAATCACAGAAGCCATTGAAAGACAGCGTGGACTACCTGCAGCAAAACAAATGATACTGAGTACTTTTTTAAAATTATGTACCAATACACCAGAACTCTCCTATTTGTTGTTTACTGTCAGAGCAGTTCGCAAGTGGATTTTGCCACAACACGATCCAATGCACAAAATAAAAACAAAGAACTGCGGATGCTGGAAATCTGAAACGAAAACAGAAATTGCTGGAGAAACTCAGCAGGTCTGGTACCATCTGTGAAATGAAAGCAGAGTTAACGTTTTGAGTCCAGTGACCCTTCTTCAGAACTGATATTAGCTTGGACAAGGTGGTATATATGCTGAAGACAGAGGGTGGTGTTTGGTTGAGGTGGGGAAGGTGGGAGAGAAGTGAGCAGATAGGCGGAGATAGGGCCCTGAGAGAGAGAACAGCAGCGAGGCGGATAAAGGGATGGATGATTGTATGTCAGGGAGAAAGAAAAGCCGCTAATAGGGACCATAAGTTGGTAAAATTGGGTCGGCTGTGTTGAAAGCAGCCTAGTGACATGTCTGCCAAACTGATAATCTCAAGATTAATCCTTATTTAGGTCATAAGGCAGGACAAGTCAAATCTGTTTTACACCTGCAAGTGTATTCAGGATAGGGTCAGGTATGGAAGCTGCAGGCTACCTGAGATCAACAGTGTATTGCATTGCAGCTTAGTGTCAGCTCAGTTGACTGCACAGCCGATTGTAATGCAGTGATGCCAATAGCATGGGTTCAATTCCCATATCTGGCTGAAGTTACCATGTAAGTCATGTTTTTTCAAGTTTATCTCTAACCTGAGGTGTGGTGACCCTCAGGTTAAATCACCACCAGTCTCTCTCCCTAATGAGAGAACCCAGTGGCCCTATGGGACTATGGCGACATTATCTTTCCCTTTACCTTAGATGAGCAGTGGAAGAATCTGAGTCAGACAGACAGAGACAAAAGGAGGTGAGCGCTGATCCTACTCACCACTTGGGTTCGGATGGTTCTGCCTTGGTAACTCAGGGGCTGCTGGTTTTGAGGGGAATGGTGGGGGCAGCTGCGGTGGAGATGTTTGAGCAGATGTGGGTTTCACCAGAATTGTATTCTGAAATGAAATCAGATGCAAAATGAGAGAGTTCACTTGTTAAGACAGCACAACCCCTCGGAGGACAAGGTCTGTAAGAGACAAAACTCTCTGTAAATCTCAGTGTTAACTACTCATCCATTAAGTTCAATCAATGATGGCATTGCCACTTCAAACAGTTTGAAAACAGTAAATTTGCAATGAATACTGACTACATTCACACACACACACACACACACGTTGGTATAGACATGTATGTACAGACAGACGCATACATATACAGATACAGACACACAAATACAGATATATACACACATACAGACACATATATAATGACACACTAACAGACACAGACACAGGCACATAAATAGACATGTATACAGATATAGACATATATATGGATACAAACTCATATACAGACATATATACAGATATAGACACAGATATACAGACACACACACACAGACAGACACATATATACAGACACACATACACATGCATACTGGTTTGTCTGTCCCCATACCCTTACGGTCTTGACCTTAGACCCTCTTAGTCCAGACTCAGGGAATGCTGTAAACTCAAGATAGCTCCTGATTAGAAGAGGACAGTAAATAAAAAATATGAATAAGAAATAAGAGTAGGCCACTCAGCCCTTCAATTCTGCTCCACCATTCAGTAAGGTCATGGTTGCTCTGATTCTCCAATTTTAACATCTCTACGTTCCTGCATAGCCCAAACATCAATCATGACGATGCTGATGATGTTGAGTTACAGAGATGACCTTTGGAAGATCTAGCTGGGAGCCCCCTCCCTACCTTGCCATGCTCCATTCCTTTCTGAACGTCACGTGACTCCCTGCTCCCCTCGTTGATGGATCTGTAGTAGTCACCACCGCTCTGCTGCCTCACAATGTTCTTTGTTTTTCGAAACGATTCGTGTCTCTGAACAGAAGCTGGAGGGTCAGCTGGTGCCGGCTGGAATTGAGGGAGAAATCAGAGCTCAACATTAACCTGCACCCAAACCATCAGCTAAAACTGTAACAGTAGTTAACAGTAACCAGGACAGGAGGGTGGCACACACTCAAAATAAACAACCACAACAGCCATTTATAATGTGCCAACAATATAGAAAAAAGTGCTGCGTGGAAGATAAAGATATTGTTCTCTCCTTCCCCCTTTTCCTGGAATATGACTTTACCTTTGGCACAGTTGGTTTGCATGTAAGATTTATATGTCTTTTTCTCTGGCACCCAATATATTTCTTTAGTGAGTTTTTTTTATATAGAATCCCTACAGTGTGGAAACAGGCCCTTTGGCCCAACAAGTCCACACTGACCTACAGAGCTTCCCAAGCAGTCCCATCACCCTATAACCCATCTAATCTACACATCCCAGAACCCTATGGCCAATCCACCTAGCCTGCACATCTTTGGGCTGTAGGAGGAAACCCACACAGACACAGGGAGAGTGTGCAAACTCCACACAGACAGTCACCCAAGGGCGGAATTGAACCCGGTTCCTTGGCAATGTGAGGCAGCAGTGCTAGCCACTGAACCACTGTGCTGCCCTATGAAGTGGGTATTTCTGAAAAGACCCATTGCATTGCCAATCCCTAATTGATTGGTTATAAGCTGCCTTCAAATTGGAGTTCTTAACAGCATGGAAAGAGGCCCTTTGGGCCATCACATCCTTGCTGTTCATTAAACATCCACCATCCAGGCTTCTATGCTAATGTGTTTCATGTGTTCATCTAGTTTTTAAAATGTTTTGACAGTTCCCATTTCTACCATCATTTTAGGCATTGCATTCGCTCTGGAAGAGGCTTGCTAGGCTATTTCAGAGGGCAGTCAAGAGTCAACTATATTGCCGTGAGCTTGGAGACTAGGTAAGTACAACAGATTTCCAACAGATTTCCTTACCCAATGGATATTAAGGTACACTTGCTATAGTTTCATGGTCACCATTACCTATACAACTGTTACAGACAGAATGTATGTAATCTCCTACACCCTTAATCAATATATTTTGAATAGAAAGAGGTGTGTCTTTTCCTATCCATATATTCCAATTAAGTAATTCAGCAACAAGCTTTTGTGAGGTTAAAAACTAAAGGATATCTGTGCTCACCCATTTATATCAAATCAAAGTACTGTCACACACTCAGTCACACACACACACCTACACTGACAAAGACTGGATACAAATAAAAACAGTGCACTTTCAGTCAATTCAATCTCTGATTTACGACTTCCACTCTCCTACATGGCAGCCCAATGGTTTCTTGAATGGACTGGATGCTTTAAGTTCAAGTAAGGATTTGTAAAGCAAATTGTGAGGCTCCTTGTAGTGGAATACCTAAGAGGTTCCTTTCAAATAAAATTTGAAATAGGAACAGGTTACATACTCTGGCTGCTTGATGACTCGCAGCTCATTTCAGGGTCTGGTTCTCAGACTGGGTGATGGCTGATGATTCTGATAAATGTGGTTGGTGCTGTGGAGATAGGCTGCTGTCCCTGAAACAGTTTCAATCACATGGCTCCTGTGTTAACATGTTTAAGGCCGACACCATCTGTTTTGGAAGTGAGAGACCTTCAAGATGCAATGGGAAGTTGACAGTATCGTTACGTTTTGATCTTCCCCTTTGGCCAGTGTGAGATATGGAAACAGGCAGTTTGGAATCTCTACAGTCTTTAAGTGTTGATCCAACTTTAAATAATGATATACCTGGATTTCACAGATGGCTGGGAGGTACTCTCATTGATATCTATTTTTATTTAGACATTCACCAGAGTACAGACTGTAGTCAAAAGTCACATAATTTGTGGCAGCCATCTTAAAAATTTGCTTGTGTCTAATTTTTACAAGTGTGGAATGAAAGTTCATAATAGGACATGCGTGTACTAGGCATGACACTAGCTTTTTATTGTAGATTTCAATTAAACTTGGGGTGGCTGAGGGAAGGGGAAATGTTACGCCTGTGGTGTTAAACATGGTGAGTAGAGTGACTAAATTAGGCATGCTGAGAAATCTTGATTTTCAGACTGTGGGCTGAGATGTGGGGTTGAAGCCAGAGGTGTATTTATGGCATCTCAAGCCTCATGCCAGCATGCTATTAATACTCATAGCATCTAAACCTTTTAAAATTACATCTTACCCTATGTAAGGTAAAGTCCAAATGTTTGTCCATATCAAGGTATTAACTGGTAGGGTCCTTACAGGACTTTGAGTTCACCTACAGTATTTCAATTACACTCACTAAACATAACCTCAGACAATGTCCTTTACCATGGACAGAAGGCAGGGCTAGCTGAAGCTACAAATTCGGCCATGTCTCACAGAGTGGAGTGTACCACGTTGGACACTAGCATGGATATTCAATAAAATGTGAACAAAAAGTCCAACATTGTTTCTCCTGCAATTAAGAAAATATGACTAGCTCCCCTATAATCACCAATGTATGTCAACTATGAGGAGCACCAATAAATTTAGCGCCCTGACTGTCTCAACAAATAATGGTGACACACATGAATAAAATGAAAACAATGCATTGTGAAATAATTACATGTGAAATTTAATTTTGAGTAACACCACTCTCACCTTTGTGTTTTTAAATTTATATTAATGGCAGTGGTGTTGGGTAGGAAAGTTGTGTCTACGAACAGTGCCTCTCTGACCAGGGGCCTCTTTTACAGTCCACCCATAGCTTCTGCGTTATCAATAGTCAAAACACTGAAACGCTTTCTCCATGTGATCTGGTCTCCCGTGTACACTACCAACACTTCAGGTTTTATTGTAATTACATTGGAAAGGGGATAAAGCATTTGAATCTTTGATTGTAAGATGTAGGAGCAGAAATAGTCCATTCAGCCCATCGAGTCTGCTCCACCATTCAATGAGAACATGGCTGACCTGATAATCCTCAATACCACTTTCTCGCCTTTTCTTACCTGTGATTCCTTTTCTGATTAAAAATCAGTCGATCTCAGCCTTGACTTTACTTAATGACCCAGTCTCAACAGCTCTTTGTGTTAAGAAGTCCATCAATTCACCACCCTCTGAGAGAAGAAGTTCCTTTGGATTTGTCTCGCTCTGAGGATTGTGGATGTTCCATCATGAAGCATAGTAAGGCTGGGATTGAGACCTTCTTTGGTCTCTCAGTGAATCCAGGGAGAGGGGATAGGGCAGAGAAATGAAGTTCAAGTAGAAGATCATCAATTGTTACACAGAATGGCAGAGCAGTTTTGAGCGGCCTGAAGAGAATGGAACTTAGGGTGAAAACTCTCTGATTTTTGGAATCATAATTAAGACAAAGGAAAATTCAATTCAATTTCATTTTATTGTCCATAAGGAAATCAATTTGAGGTATATTGTTTGTTTGTTAAAAAAATTATGTATAATTTTCATAGAATCCCCACAGTGTGGAAACAGGCCTTTCAACCCAACAAGTCCACACCAACTCTTCAAAGAGCATCCCACCCAGACTCACCTCCCTATCCTAGCCCTTGTATTTCCCACGGCTAATCCACCTATGGGCAATTTATCATGGCCAATCCACCTAACTTGCACATCTTTGGACTGCGGGAGGAAACCCACGCAGACACAGGGAGAATGTGCAAACTCCGCACAGCCAGTCACCCAAGGCTGGAATCAAACCCAGATCCCTGGTACTGTGAGGCCTCACTGCTAACTACTGAGAGACTGTGCTGGTGGCTATGGCTGGGGTTATTGGAAGTGAACATTTTAGTCTCAGCGCATCTCTGCTTGAGTTCCTCAGGTTAGTGTCCTAAGCGGAACTATCTGCGGTTGCTTCATGAATGATGTTCCCTCCATCATAACGTCACAAGTAGGGATGTTTGCTGTAGACTGTACAAAATTCAGCACGATTCACTGATACTGAAACAGTCCATGTCTAAATGCAACAACAGCTGGACAAGTTTAGGCTGACAAGTGGCAAATAACATTTTCACCAGGCAAGTGCAGGCTATGGCTATCTCAAACCAAAGAGAATCTGATCATCTTCCCCTTCACATTCAGTATTGTTACCATCACTGAATACCCACAATCAACACCACTGACCCGAAACTAAACTGGACTAGCCATGCAAATACTGTGGTTATGAGACAGGTTATAAGTGAGGGATCCCGTGATGAATAACTCACCTCCTGACTCCCCCAGAACTTGGCCAACATCTACAAGGCAGAGGCCAGGAGTGTAACAGAACAAAATGTTCCAATTGCATGGAGTGCAACTCCAATGACACTGAAGAAGCTTAACACGAGGGTAAAGGAGTGTACTTGACTACCACCTTCCCCCCCCCCCCGCCCACCCCACCTCAATCCCCCCACATGGTGGCAACAATGTGTGCTATCAAAAAGATGCATCGCAGGAACTCACCAATTCTACTTCGACAATACCTTCCAAATCCACAAGCTTTGTTGTATCGGGTAATTGTAAATCAGGTCTCCATACACTCCTGTCACACACAGTCTGTGGGTGGCATTAAGAAGATCTGCTCTAGCTTTTGGAGGGAACAGATGCATCTGTACCAGCACCCTTAGGTCTCATAATTAGCCCTAGCCAACTGTTGTTACACGTACTGCTATCATGCAGTGAATCTTGTTTTCTAAGAACAATGTTTCTTATGAAGATACTCTATGGAGGTCAATCCTCAGCCACTAATCAATAGATTGACCTAAGACAAATCAAAGACAAAGGGGCATTCCTGTTTGAGATCCACCTCAAATGACCTTTAGATTCACATACCTTGATGTATTTGTCACCTCTACCTGTATCGGATGTGATCAACTAACAAAATACTCCAATCTCGGGTACCAAGAAGGGCAAAAGGCAGCAGATACATCAGAATACCACCACCTGCAAGTTCAAGTCACTCACCACCATAAGTTGGAACTGTGTCTCTATTTCTTCACTGTCGCTGGTTCAGAAGGGTAGAAAGCACTTCCTGGCTGTACCTA